TCTCTCTCTCTCTCTCTCTCTCTCTCTCTCTCTCTCTCTCTCTCTCTCTCTCTCTCTCGTAGTATGCTGATGCAGTGAAGTCAGATAGCGAGAGGGTGAGAAGGAGATGGTGGACTGAGAAGAGGAAGAAGAACTCTCTCTCTCGTATGCCAGGTACTAACCTGTGAAGATGGCGTTGTGCTGCAGGTACCTCGAAGACGAAGCTAGAGCAACAGCGTTGCAGGTAAGTCCCTCTGACCTCCGCCCAATCTCTCTCTCTCTAGTACTACTCTAGCTGCTATGGCGGCCCAGCGCTGAAGACTACAGCTAACGCTACTAGCGCCCCGCGCTGAAGACTACCGCTAACGCTGCTACTACTCCTGCAACGCTCCTCCAGAGTGCTCTTGCCGAATCTTGAAGACTACCTCATGCCTCCTGAACTGCACGTGAAGTGCCTGGGAAGTACCTAGGAACTCCCTGCCTGCCTGCAGGGCGGGCCAGTCCTATACAGTGCTGGCCCATCCAGGAGGCTGCTCTTGCCAATGCCGAAACGTGCCAGACCCTGGCGTTGAAGCTCAACCAGGGGTTGCCTTGAAAACATGCCTGAAATGGCCTGTGCTAAAACCCTGGTTTGTTGCCTGAGTTTCAGGGCAGGTCGAACCGATGAGGGCCCAAAAATGGCCCTCAATTTCAGGCTGAAAACACTCAGGGCCGGAAAGGCCCTGATTTAGCCTGAAACGACACAAGGCCTGTAGGCCCTTGTTTTCAGGATTTCAAGCTGAAACGACACAGGGCCTGTAGGCCCTTGTTTTCAAGCTTTTGGCCTGAAAACGTCACGGGCCTGGAAATGGCCCATGCAGCCTGTTGCAGGCGCAGCATGTAGCAGGAGTACTATTAGTGGAGAGATGCGCTGAGTTATTGTATGCACTCGCTACCTTATGGTGTAGTCAAATGTACATATGAAGGGCCCGTTGCAGCAACTTATTTATCTCCTTTGTCTTACCATTCGTCTCAGGATGCCTAGCTGAAGACATGGTCAATTGTGAGGGATACACCTTCATGAGTTGCTCTGAGTGTTCCTCGCTAAATCTAACAACTATATCACTAACTATAGTCAAAGGATGACCACTATCCTTGACCCAATGAGCAAAAACTTACGGATTACCAAATATGTTTTTGCTTCTATTGGCAATGGAACAAATTTTGCATACTTAGTAAATCGGCTTACTATCTTCATAACTTGCATATTCTCATTTCTGCTCTTGACATGGTGTCCATCAAGTTTATAAATACTAAGTCTTGAGGGTCTGATGAAATAGGTAGAGGTCTCAAACGTCCTACAAGGCTTGAGTCATACTCTTGGTCCTTTGGCATATTCTTCACTCCTGTAAGTAAGTGTTGCAATTTCACTTCATTTAAGGCCACATGTAAGAGCATGGTAAGCTAGCATAAGCCTTCCTCCAACCAAAATGGCACTCAAAATCTTGGGCTTCTTCCAGAATGATGCTCTTAATCTCTTTAATACAGGGAATGCATAGTCTACCTTCACCATTAGCTGTGACAACCAACAATCCATCAACTATCTCGTTGTGCGGCCATTCATGCGGTTTCTCCTTTACCATAGCTATAACCTCTCTATAAGATTGGATCTAACTCGTAAGCATCTCATATCTTCTTATTAATTCATTCCCGGCAAAGAAACCTGCTCCTTTGGGCAATGCATTGGCGGCAACACTTTACTTCCTCATCACCATGAACTCATCTTTGCAACAAAATAGTAGACATTTGGCCAGTGTCTTTAACGACCGTAAGGTCTTGCAATGTGAATAACCTTAAAAGCCTTAAAATACTTCCTAAGAAATGATGTCCACTCTTGCGCAATGGAAGAGTCTAATGCTTTCTCTGATGATAATCTTTTGGACATGAACTCTACCAGTCTGTAGCCCTTGCCATCGTCCTCATGTACTACAACTTTTGTTCCACATTGGCTAGCATATGTAGTCACCATAATAGACAAGGAACAATTTGTAATCTTTAATACTGAGAAATACTTTCTATACTAATTAGCTAGACTTAGGAGTGAGCGTAATTCTCTAAGGGTTTTTGGGCGTCGGACAACCTCTAATCACTTCAATCTTACTATCATAAGGTTGTACACCATATTCATCTATGACATGAACGAGATACAACACACACTACTTCGTCCACTCCCACTTTTTGGGATGTACCTTAAACTTATTCTCTCTCTTCTCTAGGACTTTGCGTAAATGCTCTTTCTGCTTCTCTCAAATCTTGCTAAGAACTCGGATATCGCTAAAAATACAATTGCATATCTGTCAAGCCAAGATCTTAACAAGTCCTTAGTATATGACTAGAAACTAGTAGGGATATTAGTTAGATCGCAAGGCATCACATTAAACTCATAGTGACCACACCTAGTTCTAGAGGTTGTCTTAGGATTATGTTCAGAGGTCCCTTCAATTCATATACCCTAACTTCAAGTTTATCTTAGAGAAATACTTACAACCGTTTAGCCTCTTCGATAACTTGTTTATGAGGGATAGTGGTTCTATATTCTTCATTGTTATTGCATTACAACGCCCATAGTCTATACGTAATCTTAACTCTCCGTCCTTTTCCAGGAACACAAAAAAGACAAACACTTCAAAAAAATCAACTTTGCTTAATCCACCCTCAATCAACCAGGTCTTAGATTTATCTTCTTAGCTCTTCAAACCGATTGTGCCATCTTGTAAGCAGGAATCTTGGAATCCTAATACCCAACCTCATTTCAATGTGATGCTTGATTAGTTTTCTAACTATTATCTCGAGGTCCTCCTACACATCAACAAACTCTTCTAGCAACTTCTTCACTTGTTGTGGTGTAGACTCTTCCTCTTTTTTAGGCTCTCCTTCCTTGTCTTTGCTCTCTTCTCGGGTGGTACATAGGTAATATAAACATAATTTATCCAACTTGTTCCAACTGTCTAACTAAGACGGAACCGATGATACCTGTGGGCTTTCTTCTCCTCATCTTTCTTCTCCTAGCTAGATAACTAGCACTTAACTTCACTTTTTTTTTCCCCCAACTAAGTTATATTCTCCTCTCAATCACTTGTCTTTTCTTCTCTCCTTTTTCTTATTTCTCTTCCTCACTGAAGTCTGTGTACACTTAGGAGAGAACATCGACTGTCCTATAGCTCTCCCTGATCCATGAGGCAGGTTTGTGCCACAGTGTTGGTGCAAGTGTAAAGTTGTACGACTCTTGACATGATTGGTTTCCTGCCATCCATAGATAGCTTGTTGACCCCCCAGACCAACTTCACCCGTTTTCACATATGTTATCGTTCCTCATTTGATGCCTAAGATCAAATCAAAGGGTAGGTTTTCTTCCACTAGAAAGGTCCAAGAATGTAATAACTTCTCGACCCTTCAATTGAAATTATGCCTTAAACCCCCTATCGTACTACCACATTCTCATTAAATTATTGTTAGCCATTCCAGATACTATTGGCTCTTCCAAATCTCGAACCTCATTCTTGAATATAACTCCTTAACTAATCAATGCGGCATGTAACTTCTTGTGGACCAACTCA